TCGTCTGTTGAATACCCTCGCTGTTAACAATATTTTGGCCAGCTTAAGACATTTAGAATAGTCCTAAATCCAGATATCAAGCTAACAATGCAAATAAATCATCGTAATAAACAATATATGATAAAAATATATATATGTCTTAACCATTTTAATCAATACTGATAACGAAAGTAACGTTAAAGTAAAAGTAGAATGCAACTTAATTACAAAACACATAGAAATTACTGTTTGCATCATGGTAAGGTATCTTATATTACGATGTTATTGTTGATTTCATATTGAAGAAAAATTTTCTAACGTCTACCCGCAGAAATCTTTGCAAAGTTTTACCAACACTTAAGTATGTGGTCACTTAATTAAAGCAGTATTGGTCATTCAGACGTCTTACTGCTAATCTGCAGACGGGAATTACCGGCAAAAATCAATGGAAAGTGTTAGATAGTGGACTTGAGAGATTTCAACTTACAAAGTTTTCAACTTCACAGACGGAGAAGGACCTCTCCCCCTCTAAAAACTCTCCAATATCAATTCATTTAAACCATCCCTTCTTTTTTTTCAAAATCTTTGATTCGCCCCTGTTAGTAAGTCAGTAATGAGAAATATTCAAATGAGACAAGTATACATTGAGTTTGAATGGAGTTTTGTAGAACTCGAAATAATAAAGCTTATAAACACAGTTTTCAACCAAACCCTTTATTACGTCTCATACGTAATGTAAAGCATCTGTAAAAACCTGGTATTGTTAAACTCGAAAAACAATACCAGGTTTTTACAGATGCTTTACATTACGTATGAGACGTAATAATGGGTTTGGTTGAAAACTGTGTTTATAAGCTTTATTAAGACATTGAGTTATGCCCGTCTCGTTTTCAAACTAGCAATAAGAAAACCCAATGACTACTGTATTTTGCTACCATCGAGAACACCTTTTGCCTGTTATAATCAGGATCTTGAAGTGACAAGAATCAAGTTATATCAGGAGCTGTTCATTGATGGGTGGAAAGTTTGATAGTAATATCAATGAAAATGGCTGTGATGGGATTTAAATCGATCATATATTTTGGAAGAAGATATCCTTTATAGCTATCTTCCATATTTTATACATTACAGGTATTCCACACCACCCAAAAATACGAGCATAACTGATCTCCAAAATAAATTAAATATAATATTTTTTACCATTTGCACCTCTATTTTCTCTTTATTTGTATTTAATGTTTCACTGTACCTACGATTCTGTGTTTTACTTTGTAAAGAAGTCCGGACTTCTTGGACCATCCCTTACTATCTTAACAGACCTTCACTGTTTGCATATACTGTGGATACATTTAGTAACTAACCATACATTTTTAAGAGAACAGGCGTTGCCTAGTGACTAACGTGAATCTAAAAATTCGTGGTCCGTTGCCACAATAAAAAAAAAAAAGAGTTCCGCAATATGGAGCTGTTTGTGCGTGCGCTGTAAGAGTAACAGTGAAATCAGACAAGAGAAACCCAGGAGTTGGTCGGTTGGCTACCTGTATATCAGTTCAAAATTAGGAACGCTATGTGCAGATAGCTGTTTTTAGCTTTGCGCGAAATAATAAAACAAATAAATTAAATACTTATCATAGATATATTGAAGAATTAATCACAAATTTATCATGTATATATTAAATAATTAACTAAACATTTGCCCTGAAGATGTTGAATAATTAACCACACGTTTATCACATATGGATTGAATGACGGACTACAAGTTTAACGTGGGTATATTAATTAATTAACTTTTGAATAATTAATGTTTAATTACTTTAATGTTAGCTAAGAAAAACTTAAGATTTTTACTAGTATTAGAGTGTTTTTTATAATTTGGTTTCAGTTGAGAGTTACTTTTTTACTAAACACTCTACTTAATTGTGCTGTCTCTTCCACCAACAGTAAATAATGTTCACTCTTTTTAATCGTGCTGTCTCTTCCACCAACAGTAAATAATGTTTACTCTTTTTAATCGTGCTGTCTCTTCCACCAACAGTAAATAATTTTCACTCTTCTTAATTGTGCTGTCTCTTCCATCAACAGTAAATAATTTTCACTCTTCTTAATTGTGCTGTCTCTTCCACCAACAGTAAATAATTTTCACTCTTCTTAATCGTGCTGTCTCTGCCCCCCAGTGGCACAGCGGTATGTCTGCGGACTTACAACGCTAGAAACCGGGTTTCGATACCCGTGGTGGGCAGAGCACAGATAGCCCTTGTGTAGCTTTGTGCATAATTAAAAACAGGCAATCAAACAAACAAGTGCTGTCTCTTTCACCAACTGTAAATGATTTTTCACTCTTATTAATCGTGCTGTCTCTTTCACCAACAGTAAATAATTTTCACTCTTTTTAATCGTGCTGTCTCTTCCATCAACAGTAAATAATTTCCACTGTAAAAATTATTGGCATCGTGAACCAACGAAGGCTACAGCTGACCTTCATGTTACCTAGTAATTACACAAATACGTCATACTGGTAGAAGCTCCAGGGCATTTCTATACTCACAAGCTGTATTAATGTTCTCGCAGCCAGTAAGGCTGACGCTGGTCAGTGACTGACCAGTGTCCACCTGTAGCCACATCATCGTTGAATGAAGAGCGGCATGACTTTAATAGTGGAGGCCTAACTAACAATGGTAATGTTGTGTTCCAGTGAAGGACGATCAGTTTTCAGACAAAAGAAGGCCTGTTTGTTTAATAACCGATAATGACTTAGAACCGTTTAAATGACATCTCTGGGATTTGATCAGGACTCGAAAGAAGCAAACTTTCCCACAGGTTGGCGGTGTTAGTCCAATATAACATCATCAAGACAAACCGTAAATTGTAAGCCGTGGGGAAAAGTACGCTGAGGAGGCCGCTTCTACTGTTTCATTGCCCCTCATCAGGGCTAGCAATGACGACGTTAATGGTTACACTGTTGTAAAACTCCGACTACCGTCTTGCAAGCCGACTCGGTTACTGCACAAAGTCACTGACACACTTTTGTGAAAACTGTAATGTCGGAAGAGAGAAGAGAAAAAACGTGATTATAAAAATTCACCGGTAGGAAGAAACCAATCAAAAATTGATATATTCAGTACATAGGACTAACATAATTCGTGGACAAATATAACCGGCATTACTAAGCTGTTGGTAATTAAACATTAACCTCGTGGTATGACTATGTACCGAAGGTTTTAAATATTAGTACACAGTTTTATGTTCTTTTTTTAGACGCAATATGTTACAATTAAACTGTAATACATAATTATATGAGCACTAGTAAAGTAACCATGTATTCAATCAATCATGGTGTCTTCTTCAATTCTGAAGGTCGACGCTGTTGTTCTTTCTTGCTCTTTATTCTTCGTTGTCTGCACCAAATTTTCCAGTCAAAGTTCTAATTTCTAATCAATTTTCTAACGTTATCGAGCGAAATGAGTCTTCATCTGCCTCTCGCTCTTCCCTCGGTTTTACCTTCTAGAATCTCTAACGGTCTTCCCTCAGATCTAATTACATAAAGTATTGAATCTCCCGTTTCCTACATCTATCCAGTACGTCCTGCTTAGTTTATCTTTCTATGTAACTGCTAATCATCTCCAAAACACCTTGTCCCAAATGCTTACAACTGTCCGAACCTAACTGACCATACGCACAAGTTTAATAGTTTCTTCTTCAGTTCTAGTTTGACATTCCTCCTGAACAATTGTTTGAGACTGAGAAATATGTTTTAAACACTAGTAGACAGGTTTAGGCCAGACACAAAATGTTGTAGTTAAGTTTTAAACAAACTACACAAGTTTGTCTAGACTAGACAGAAAATACTATTATGGTATTCCAATATGCCTCAAATGGTGTAAGTTACAACGAAATTATGCAGATTTTATCTTCCATGTGTTGAAAACAGTAGAAATGCTTTGAGTTTATTGATCATTGGGTAATCTAAACATAAAGATAGTACAAAAACTTGCATTTTTTTCACGTTGCTTTAATTAAGTAACTATCGTTGTTTTTTGAATAATACATTTACCTATTCGTGATTTCTATATGTGTTCTGTTTCATTCTTAATAACAAATAACTTATCCATCTCCTAAAAACTTCTTAATCCCTACCCTGGCTGAATAGATTTTATTACCAACACTGCCATGGTTGAATAGACTTTATTATTAACACTGCCATGGTTGAATAGACTTCATTATTAACACTGCCATGGTTGAATAGACTTCATTATTAACACTACTCTGGCTGAATATACTTTATTACCAACACTACCATGGTTGAATAGACTTTATTATTAACACTATCCTGGCTGAATAGACTTTATTACCAACACTGCCATGGTTGAATAGACTTCATTATTAACACTGCCATGGTTGAATAGACTTTATTACCAACACTACCCTGGCTGAATAGATTTATTATTAACACTACCCTGGCTGAATAGATTTATTACCAACACTACCCTGGCTGAATATACTTTATTACCAACACTACCCTGGCTGGATAGTCTTTATTACTAACACCACCTTGGCTATTTTTGAAAGGCGAGTATTTTAATGCGTTATGTCATAAAGATACACGTGGAAACACAGTTGTATGTAACATATCTATCGAACTGTGGTGTTATATCTTCTAATAATTATTCTTTGGTATAAAAAAATAAATAACATGTATTATCTGCCAAGGAAATATTCAATCTAAACTCATTTTAGTTGGTTAGTTTTAAATAGTTTGTAACTTCACTAACTTCTTACAGCACTTTAGATTCTTCTGTCGTTCTATTGGGCGTAGAAAGCTTATTAAGAGGTTTTTCTGGATGTGATTGGTGAACCTTCGTTCTGTAACTCCGCCTTCTTGAAAGTCAAAGGGAATGCGTAAGTCGAGGGTGGACAGAGCAGAGCTGTGACCGCTGATTGGGTATATAACAACCTACAGTGAAATACATAAGATATTCGTTCATTCCGGTCTCAGCTTCAGATAACTATAGTATTTCTGGATGATGCAGAAAGAGATGTTGCCTTTCTCCTACCCCCTACACTGGCCCGCGTGCTTCAACGTGACGTCCGCTTCCCCGCTAACCAACGTCAGACCGCTGGTGTTTGTGAACGTTCCTGAGATCGGCCTCGGTAAACCCCAGGATAAAAAGCCTTCCTTTACTATAGAATCCATTCTGGGACTGGATAGTGGCAAGCCGCAGTCCTTAGCCGTTCCAACTTATACGATACCGGCGAAACAGCGGGAAACGCCTTGTTCCAGAAATATCAAAGCTGTTAGCGTGAAAACGTCCAAACCTAGTAAGTTAATGATTGTCTCAAAGTTATAGGTTAGATATAATAGTGCTATCTCAGTACTAATTATACTTCGAGTTTGATAGCAGCCTCTCTCTGTATGACAGTCAGTGGTTTGACAAATATAAGTATTTCTACTATATGAAACCAGTCTCTTGGCCAGTTATATAATCAACTGGCCATTTGAGGGAGGGATTTTCAATTATATGAGAAGCTGTATCGAAATGATGAAACTTCGTAGTGTTAGTGCCTACTATATATGACGTTCACATCTTTAGTAAAGGTGTTGTGCCTGGCAGTTATTTTGATGTAAAATTAATTGATTCGAAGTAAATAATTAACCATCAAAGGTGTTCGAAGATTAAGCAATCTCCCTTCACCCTGTAAAGGTTTGGTGTATAAAACAATTTTATTTGTTCTTGCTAAGACAGATAAAGGTGGTGGGCAGACAGCTGGACGGCCCCATTCTACTTAAATAACCAGTTACAATGACCGATCACGTCACATTCACGTGACACTGGTTAAAACCTTCGTACTAAAACTGATGACAACTAGTGTTTTGTTTTTACTCTCACGTGGGGTTCTTTCGTTTGGCGCGTGACATGTGACGTTCCATAAATCGGGATTTACCGCTGTATGGTTGTATGCATTGTAACCCAAAACAAAGTAGATATTGTTCTAAGACGAAGCAAATGAATTAATGTGGGCTTTGTTGTTGAATTGTATTAATTATACATAAGGTGAGTAGCCAAGCTTTAAATTTTAATACGGATGTGGAGTAGTTAAATTGATTGTAGAATATAATCCATATGTTGTGACTTTTAGGTGATGCTGGTGACCAATCGAAACCGAGAGCAGCGATACAGGGAGGAGAAAGCGAGTGTAAGACAAGTCCGGCTAAGGCCAAGCGGATACGGACAATCTTCACCGCCGAGCAGCTGAATCGCCTCGAAGCCGAGTTCTTGCAGCAACAGTATATGGTCGGTCGGGAGAGGTCGCATCTGGCATCGGAACTCAACCTGAAAGAGGCCCAGGTTAAGGTGTGGTTTCAGAACAGACGGATCAAATGGAGAAAACAGCACTATGATGGTCAACTACGAAAAGAAACGAGGCTTGATCACGACACCGAGAACTTGTTGACACCAGAAAACACCAAAAACGTGTAAAGACACCCAGCGGAAGTATATCTAGTCGGAAAGTGCTATGTCCAGTTCTGGTCAGCAGAATTCTTAGCATATCTATAACATCATTACAAGTTCTAGGCTTTCTTAGAGAATAGATAAGGAGGAGGAAACCCTTCCGAACAACTTATAGAAGATATGCATTGTTTCAAAAGTCGGAATGAGTTATCCACATTTAAATCATTTTAATACTTAAGTTGTTATATCTCTGCAGTATGTGAGAATAGTGGTAAAGCTGGGGTATAGGTCGGTGGTAACATCCCTAATACCTTAAGTAGTAACATCTCTAATGGTACAAGTCAGTAATGGTATATCTAGGCTACACGTTGGTGGTAACATCTCGAAATGACAAAAGTCAGTAATGGTATATCTAGGCTACACGTTGGTGGTAACATCTCGAAATGACAAAAGTCAGTAATGGTATATCTAGGGTACATGGTGGTAACATCTCAAAATGACAAAAGTCAGTAATGGTATAACTTCGGGTACACGTTGGTGGTAACATCTCGAAATGACAAAAGTCAGTAATGGTATATCTAGGCTACACGTTGGTGGTAACATCTCAAAATGACAAAAGTCAGTAATGGTATATCTAGGGTACACGTTGGTGGTAACATCTCAAAATGACAAAAGTCAGTAATGGTATATCTAGGGTACACGTTGGTGGTAACATCGCTAATAATACATGTCAATATTTGTATCTCGGCTACATGTGAGTTGTGATAACTCTAATAATACATGTCAGACTGATATTGTTAAAACTTGTTAATAACCTGTGTATAGTTTTTAGCTTCTTTTGACAGTTAAATCACTTAAGGAAGGCTTTATATATAGTGCAAAAGACAGTAATTCTAAGATGTGTAATTGATATTATTTCTTATATTATTGAATGAAATATCTTGGCTGTTTTGATGTAGGTTTTGTGAATAAAGCTTATATTATTACCATATGTAGTGCCTGTAAGTTTTGAATATGGTTAATGAACATTGTACAGGAATATCTTCCAGCAGATTGAATAACTTCTAAATAACACCCAGACTGGCAAAACACTCAGTTAAAACTGATTTAAGACATGTAGGGTTAAGTTTATACAAGATTGGGTAAACATGTTTAAAACTGTTTTGAAACGTTGTTTAAACAAGACTTGGGTGACCTGCTGGTAAAACACAAAACCTCAAAAAGTGATGATTTATCAGCGCTTATATTACGACAATATATACACACGTCCGTCTGAACTTCTTTATTATACTAACTAGAGTTCAATGTAAGTACTATTATGAGCATGTTTATAATAAGACAAATATACATTCGTCCGTATGAATTATACAAACTAGGGTTCAGTGTAAGTACAATTATCGGCATTTAATCAGAAAACTGTTTGTGAGAATGCCATAAAAGTAAAATAAACAACAGAGCCACTATATGTAAATTTCATTGAGCTGGTGGTGCTTTAGTTTTTAATATTTTTTACTTTACAAGCCTATCTTCTTTTCGTTCGGTGAAGCGACAGCAGCTCAGGTGTACTGTTCGCTGGCCGTGGTTTGTAGAATAACAGCTCAATGTTTTATAGAAATCACAAATTGGATTATTATAACTAACAGACCTTGTGGTTCATTAACTTTTGACACTAACATCACGATTCAGTTGGTTTAACGATACCCAGTTTACTCATTATTAACAGTCGTTTACACTATCAGTGATTCACTAATCACAGAAACTCGGGGATAGGCAACAAGACACTAGAGGTCTCTGGAACGATAAACTTCTCAGTAGGTTAGGCTTTATGTTGTAATAAATATTCCAATGATAAGGTACAGTTTTAATCACTAAAGGGCCAGGCAAGACTACTTGATTCGGTTATTTTCATATTTTAGAAACTAGTAAGGTATGCCTGACTTATTTATTAGTTGTATTTTTAACGTCGCGAATGACAAGTTTGTAGAAACCAGAATAGTTAAAAAATTGTAACGTTTTGTTAATTGTATCCAAAGGTGGAAACTCGTGTGTTTTGGTAATATTAGCCATGATATAATATATTACATTAAATTTTTTATATAGTAACTACATTGGCCAAATGTGATAAGCATGGTACTTGAAGTGTTACATGTGACAATTCTAATTTGGTGCTTAGTATTATCGTTAAGCAGAACCAACCACGGCCAAAAACACCGTTAATAGCAACGGTATCCAACTGATTACCTAGAGCAGAGTACTATTTTCCTGTTACTATTTATTATTAATTGTTAAAATTTTAGCAGCTCTTATAATGGTAGAGTTTTCGCTTTGATGGACCTGTATCTATAGTAAGATGACGTTACGGCTCTTATAGAGAGGACTTTTTCGGGTTATCCTATTTGAGAAACAGGTTAGAGAAGTCCATCAAAACCAGAACTCTACTTAGCCAAATTTTTCAATGTAGTTTGGCTTCAACAAGCAACTCAGGCAGTTTTTATGCTCACAATATGAGCTCTCGGACTTAAGAATGCTAAAAGTTTAATTAATAATTAAATCATACGTGGCTTAGTTAATATTGTACAGACATGAATCGCTAATTTGTTAGGTCATGCTAGTACTTGTATCTAACCAATGAACAACTCAGATGAACCTATACTTCCAGAAACTTGAATCAATAATAATGAAATTTGTTTCTTGTTGTATTTCAGCAAAGAAATGTATATATTCTTCTCTATCAAGATAGCTGACATATTATTATCAGTTTATATAGTTAGTTTAAATCACTACAGTTTATTAGAAGAACGTTTTCATTCTTTAAATAACTAGGGATATCACGTATTAGATAATCATTAGCATTGTACATCATTAACTATGAATATCGCAGTACAATCAACCATAAACATCATATATTAGTTATTCAACATAACTAGGTTTAAGATCCATGTACTAAATGAAAAACATTTCTCGTTAAAAATCTTTTTGTTTTTAATTCTCGTCAGATTTGTACGATTTTAGAAATATTTTAGTGCACAGTGACGAGAAAGCTGTTTCTTATCTTAACTGTACGAGGGTTAAAGATTATTGATACCATGTAATTAAAGTTTTTGTTTGGGAGAATCGTTGTCTTCAACGAACCTTAATTTAAATCGGCTAGAACGAGGTATGGATATACAAGGTTTTGTAAGTAATGAAGCATTTCGTTTTTTTTTTTTTTTTAGTTTCATTAATATTTTTGGTTAAAACTCTTGATATTATTCTGTAATTATTATCACTAATTTTTACACTTACAAAAAGGATTTTGCAATGCGTTAGAACCAACCTAAACCTCGTGATATGTTATTATTGAGTTTACAGGGAGGGTGCCTAACTGATGGGTGAATATATTCTAATCATTGGAGATTTTAGTTTTCTTGGGTATTAACTTATAGCACTTACATATGGATAATAGTTTGTAACATAGACTTAGCTTGGTTAATTTATAAGTTACTCTTTAGCCTGAACCTGCTTACTAGTAAATGTTTGTATTAAGTATGTGCTACAACATGCTGCCATGAGCTTGTAAAAAGCCGCCGTTACGTAAGTATAATATGTCCTCAACTGTCACAACTTGTTTCTCTCCAACTACGTTAATTGGTTTAATAAATCATCATGATTTTCTTTGTGGATTTTCTCGATGTCTCAGGTGTGAGAGCAGTAAAAGAGACACTGTACAGGTGACTGCTCCACGTGCCTGGAAGCTACACTGGGGTCCGGGTGGGACACAAATAGCTGTATTTTACAGCACCCACGAGAAGGTGCCCACTGAATGCTACAAGCCTTTCTAGTAACAGCGGACCACCAAGTTAGAACTGTCCGAAACATAGAAACTTTTATCGCTATCGACCTTTCGGCTAATTGCGGACCACCAAGCTAGAATTGTCCGAAACACAGCAACTCTTATCGTTATCAAAGGGTCTCCAATTATACCATCTTATTGCTCATAATTTACAGGCCATTAGCCCTCATTATTATCGAAATTGGGCAGCTTTTAGAGGCAGTGTAAGTAGTTTCACTGGATGGTTGACCACACTGTTTCCTTGTAAAACGTCACCATCAGTTAAAGAAATAAGTTGTAATTTTCTTTTGGTCAAACAACCACTAGAACAGATGGTGTTCTACATTCAGATAATTCCCTTGTAAAAATAACAAAATAAAAACCTGTTTCACGAACTGTGGAAATACTTTCATTGCTGAATTCTTTGTTTATAGGACTTATAATTTGTTACACGAAACTGTTGATAGACGTCAATTACTGGATCCTTCCGTCACTAATCTGAGAGATTCTCTAAATTATTCCCCGAAACTTTTAATAGACGTTAATTGTTTGATTATTCCTACTGTTCTATAGGATTCAACAGCTTGTTTAATGGAACTATTGAAATACAGTCACTGATGAATACTCCTGTCTTTATCCAGTAGGACACAGAAACCAATATAAAAAACAGTGTTTGTAAGAATATCCATGATTTTTGTGTCTTATTTTCAGAATTAAGTTAATTCATGGTATTCTTTTCATCATTGAGAGTTTTCGTGAATCCTACAAGAGAAAATGTATTTAATCTCAATCATACTTGTACAGACTTCAGGTTAAAAACCTTATCAATTTTGGTTAATGGAGTGATATTTATTCATATGAAGATGGTTACGTGTATCATCAGAGTACGTAAGTTAACTAACCATAGTGGACACCATCAAATATCGTTCTCGCCTTACTCAACAAGCAAGATCGCAGATCAAGCTTGAAATAACTTTTGGAGGCTGTATTGCTGGCACACTATTCAAGATCAAAATACCTATTTACTATCAAACACGGAAATAAAATGACCACAAGCAAACTTTTCTACAAATTTGTAATGTGAGCCATGAAGCCCATGATGCATGAACTACAGTTCTGAAGTTTTCAACAATGAAAACGCCGGCATTGCCATTCCGTACACTTACACACAACAAATCAGTTTAAAGTGGTTGGCAAATACTTTAAACCACATCATTATTCTATAAAATACTTGGAAAAACTTTATATATATATACTTATAACTAATTACTGAGGACGAAAACTTATTTTTCACAAGTTTATAGAGAAGGTTATTTAAATTGTGATGATTTTTATATCGAAGGAAAACGGACGGAGTTATTCTATTCAAAGAACACTCGCGCCAACGATCATGTTCCTTTAAAGATACCGAATTGAACCCTGATCATGGCCAAGTTTTAGCATGTGAACAAAACGAAGCGAAAAAAGATAAAAAATTCCT